CCTTTTGATCTTTAACCAAGGTTAGATGTAGATGTCGACGAGCCACAGTATCCAATTACCATCAGGTGAACCGTTTGTTCGTTTTACACTCTTATTCTATAAAAAAAAGAATAAAGCTTTTAGCGTGCCTCTTCATTGAGTCTAAAGTCGCCAAGTAGAATTTCCTCACGATTTTTAACTGGCGAATCATTGGTAGTAATGACAGGGGCATGTGTCAACCAAAATAGCGACCAAATTGTCTAGTCAGCGTGGACTCACCATCGGATTGGTAAATCTTCCATGTAACGTTTACCAGCAAGCCCACACTTGAAAAGGCCTGCTGTATCCAGCAGTAAATTAAAGTGAGCAGTTCTAATAGTGACGATTATGAAATAGAATGTGTCAAATTTATGCCTGATTATACTGCCTTAGTTCAAAAATAAATTCTAATTAGGAAAATAATCCTTAATATTTAAGTGACTGAACACATTTATAAACGTTGCTCTTTCCCACATTTTCGTTAATCCTTTTTCCATCTTTCATGTAACGCTACAAAGCACTGTCGAGCTAGCTAGATTCATCGACTTCCTGCATGTCTCAGTAACAACTCGTTACTTCATCTATTGAGGTCTTAATATATTTATGTATTTACATTATATTCCTTCAGATGAATTGTTAAAAACTGTTAGTGAATTGGCGCGTGTGTTTTAAAATTACATTTGGAAAAAACAATTTAAAAAACCTTTTTTTGCCTACTTTCGATACTGTATTAAGACATGTTTGCATAGGAACCTGTACAAATAAACGTATACTAATGGATATATAATGTCTTTACATAGGATATTTGTACGTCCTCTTAAAAGGGATAAACAAGAAATCGAGTTTATGAAACAAATACCATAACTCTATAATTAATTTCACTGTGAGACGAAAAGGTAAATTGGTAAGGCCTCAGCGGAGAGTGCTATACAGGCCGGAGCTTTCGGCGTGTACGCTTTCAAATTAGTATCGTAATTGACGGCCGTTCATCACTTCACTAATGTGACGTAAGAGTAATATGAACCAGATTAGATTTACCCCTCAATAGAATGCCCGTGCAAAAAGTCCTTACTTAATTTTTGTTTGCTTTTGTTTTGTTTTTAGCTGCGAACTACGGGCTCGAATCAGGCGCTTTAAATCTGAGCATCTGTGTGGTCCACACAGTCCACTGATTTTAATGGATTTTTGTCTATGCGAAATTTATGTATTTAAATTGGAAATTACTGACATAAAAAAGATAAAACAAACTTTTAAAGGTCAAATTGTACAGAAGACCGAAAAGTACAATCTGCAAAAAATAATTTGAGTCAAAAATATTGTTTCATATTACATTTATTTATTTATTTATTTTTATTATTTTTAATTTATTTTTAATTTAAATACGATACGGGAAGGTTGTAGCTTTACCACGTGCTCGGCGGTGAATGAAAACATCGTGAGGAAACCTGCATGTCTCACATATAAGAAAAAATATATTTCGAAGACATGTGAAGTTCGCCAACACGCATTGGGGCAGTGCGACGGACACTTCCTTGTCCTAAAACTCTCTCAGAAATGAGGGAGGCCTGTGCCCAGCTGTGGGACGTATATAGGCTGTAACTTTATGGGTAGGTTAGACTGAATAAATGCATAGTGTACTGTGAGACCAAGTACATCATCACCGCCACAGCCCTTCACTAGTCCACCGCTGAACATAGGCCTATTTCAGGGAATGCCACAAGCAAGGCCCTGAACCTGCACTTTGACTTCGTACATATCTTACCAGGTCAACACTCCATCTAGTGAGGAGCCACTTTACACTTCGTTTACGAGGCTGTCACTCGAGAACCCTTCTTTCCCATCCATTGTCAGTTCTAGGTGGTCGACCCATTGCTATCAGCTTACTAATACGTTGGGCTAATATTTTTTGTATCTACATATTTTGTGTTCTTTAAATGCTTAATGAATAAGTTATTAAACTGTATTTTTAAACTTGTCTAGTTGAAGAAATCGGTATACTTAGATAAAAATACTTTTAACTAGCGATCTGCCCCGGCTTCACACGGATATCTGGATTCTGCAACAGCGCCACCTACCGGGTTAAACTATGCCTATAACCTACTAGCTATCTGCCCCGGCTTCGCACGGGTGATATCTAGATTCTACAACGGCGCCACCTACCGGGACAAACTATGCCCATAACATACTAGCGATTTGCCCCAGCTTCCCACAGGTGATATCTGGATTTTACAACAGCGCCACCTACCGGGTCAAACTATGCCTATAACCTACTAGCGACCTGCCCCGGCTTCGCACGGGTGATATCTGGATTCTACAACAGCACCACCTACCGGGTCAAACTATGCCCATAATCTACTAGCGATCTGCCCCGGCTTCGTACGGGTGATATCTGGATTCTACAACAGCGCCACCTACCGGGTCAAACTATGCCCATAACCTACTAGCGATCTGCCCCGGCTTCGCACGGGTGATATCTTGATTCTACAACAGTGCCACCTACCGGGTCACACTATGCCTATAACCTACTAGCGATCTGCCCCGGCTTTGCACGGGTGATATCTGGATTCTACAACAGCGCCACCTACCGGGTCAAACTATGCCCATAACCTACTAGCGATCTGCCCCGGCTTCGCACGGGTGATATCCGGATTATACAACAGCGCCACCTACCGGGTCAAACTATGCCTATAGCCTACTAGTGACCTGCGCTGGATTCTACAACGGCGCCACCTACCGGGTCAAACTATGCCTATAACCTACTAGCGATCTGCCCCGGCTTCGCACGGGTGATATCTGGATTCTACAACAGTGCCACCTACCGGGTCAAACTATGCCTATAACCTACTAGCGATCTGCCCCGGCTTCGCAAGGGTGATATCTAGATTCTACAACGGCGCCACCTACCGGGTTACGATACCTATAACCTTCGCGGAAGTGCAAGTAATATTTTGACAGTTTTGCCGTAATCTGATGAACGGTATGGCAGCGCATAAAATCCGAACAACTAAATATTTTATATATTAGATTATCTATATTTTATAATTTTTATAGCTAATTATTAAATTTTAACGTAAATTCTTTTTGCTTTTATTTAATTACATTTAGTGTGGAGTTTTAATGAAATAAATATGTAGTTACAAAACCTAAGCAGTCTAGGTAGTCCACCCTGCACTAGTGTATGCTGTACAATTGACGAGTTTATAAATTATTCATAAGTGCTCTTAATGAAAAAAAACCTTAAACCAAGTAACGGTTTCAAGGCACTTCCCTTGTTGCTTCAGCCAGTATCGGAATCCTCGGCGTTGACATATCGAGTGACGTGCAGTATCGTGGTCACTTGGATGAGAAGGCCAGACTGGCATCTAAAAAGCTTGGCGTGTTCAGCAGAGCGGGTGAGATTTCGTGCCGGTACACCGCTACCACTTTACAAGGCGCAGGTTCGGCCGCACATGGAATACTGTTCCCATGTCTGGGATAGGGCTCCCCAGTGCCAGCCTCTTCCACTTGACCGCATCCAGTGCAGAGCGGCTCCCTCCGGCGGAATAGTCAACGACCGAGTGCTTTCCGATCGGCTCGATTCACTGACGCTGCGAAGAGATGTTGCATTTATTAGCATTTTTTTCGCATACACCACGGGGAGTGCTCTGAGGAATTGTTCGGATGAATCTCAGCCACCAAATTTCATGAACGCACTACGCGGCAAACCTCCCAATACCATCCACACCATCTGGATGCTTGGCGGTCTACCACTGTACGTTTCACTAGGAGTTTTCTTCCGGGTACGACCTCTCTGTGGAATAGTTAACCACCGGCGCTTTTTTCGGACCGATACGACCCAGGGACTGTCAAGAAAAGATCTTACTCCTTTCTAAAAAGCCGGCAACGCACCTGCAATTCCCCTGGTGTTGCGGTTGTTCATGGGCGGCGGTAGTCACGGTGAACCGTATGCTCGTTTGCCCCCTCTTCTATAAAAAAATCTAACGGACAAAAACATCTATTCCGATTCTGATTCAGTGTTCGTTGTATGTATGAGAATAAATTCCTTCGGGCGCGTCGTGCCTAATGGAACCCCATCGGAACTTATGACAACTGTATGTCGTTAGAACAGTTGATGGTTTCTCGAGAACTGATATTAACTGTAACACAATCACAAAACAATTCTAACAATATCGTAAAAATATTTTTATATTAAAAAAATATTTGATAATCTGTAACTGGCCTAAACGTATTGTTTATTTATATTTATCGTCTACGAGTACAACATCAACATATTGGCTTTCTGCTTGAGCGTTGAGCAACCCCGGTATTGACCGATTCCTCTATATTCAAAAGCTGAAGGTAGCCAGGCTAACTATGACATTGGGGCCTCAAACATCTCAGTCCTCCCCGTGACTATGGGTGCTGTAAAGCACCCGAAACGTTGAATAAGTTTAAAATGAGTTAAGCAACGCAATAAAATACGTATAAGTAGTTTTATTCAACGTGTAGTGTTCGCGTAAATTTAAGAAATTATTATGATTCCTCTGTTTTTAACCCTCAAACCCTACTCGGGGTGCTGGAGCACCCTACAAGGTTTATTTTTCCAATTTATTTCGTTGATTGATAATGCACGTGATTGACTTTCCGCGTATTTTACTTTGAGGTTACGCGCCACGGATTGGCCAGTGTCGCGGCGACAGCCGGCTGTTGTAGACGTGTGCACGTGTGTCGTTGGGTGCTGTAGCACCCCAGTGTAGGAACAACGTAAGTTTTTAAAAATTTTATAAAACTAATTTTTAAACTTACTTTATACTTCAAATATCTATTTTATTATAAACGTATAAATTGCGGTTTAAACATTTGATTATAGAGGTTATGTTGTAAAATAAAACATAACCTATACAATTCAATATTACTTAATTTTTCATTTAAAATTCAAAAATATATATTGCACAACAGTATATTTTTAAATGTTTTTAGTGTTTTTACGTTATGGTTTGCAGATGGCTGTGGAAGGTGGATTGAATGATGAAGAAATACGTCTCATAGTAAATCAGGAATCAAGTGACGAGGAAGACCTAGTTTTTCGTGGTTCAGTTACAGAAGATTCTGATGATGAACCTGATGGTGTTTTAGAAGATTTTCGTCATATGAATGTGATTGGTCAAACAAATAATGAAGAGTATGCCTTTAGTAGCGATGATGATATGACTTTGCAAGAGCTATCTCAAGATTTAAGAAGACAAGGAAAACTAAAGGTATTGAATATTCCAAGAGTTCTTTACCGGAAAGGAAAAAATAATAGATACAAGTGGAGTGGAGAAAAGCCAGTGAGGCGTAGAACTCAGCAGCGCAACATTATTATGCATTTATCTGGAAACAAAGGTGAAGCGAAAAGTATTACAAAGCCAATAGAAGGTTGGGCTCTCTTTGTAAATGACGAAATACTAAATAAAATTGCATATCATACAAATAAATAAATTGAAAAACAACGTAAGAAATATAAAGGCTTTCAGGAGGAAGAAGATGGTGAAGAGAATAATCACCTCGTCCAGTTTACCATCATTTGTAAAACCAGTATCATTGGTAGAGTTAAAGGTTTTAATTGGGATTTATTATCTCGCTGGAGTGTTTAAAATAAACGACATAAATACCAAAGAGTTGTTTGACAAATTTACTGGCGGGATGCTTTTCAGAGCCACAATGTCCCGTTGTCGATTCGAGTTCTTGACAAATTGCCTTAGATTTGATGACAGAGACACACGCGAAGAACGTCGAGCTACCGATCGCTTAGCTCCGATTCGTGAAGTATTTGATCATATAGTAAAAAAGTGTGACAAATACTACACACCAACTGATTGTTGTACTATCGACGAACAATTATTGGCTTTTAGAGGGCGCTGTGTCTTTAAAATTTACATACCCTCAAAGCCCGATAAGTACGGGATAAAAATTTTGATGAACTGCGATTCTAAGACAGCTTACATGTTGAATGCCGTTGTTTACGTAGGTCAAACACTCTCCCCTCAAAATATGTCAGTGCCTGAGTACTACGTTATGGGACTCTCCAAGCCATTGTATGGATCCCGTCGCAACATAACCATGGACAACTGGTTCACCAGCATATCATTAGCCAAAAATCTGATTGGAAAGGAATTGACCATGGTCGGAACGACGCGAAAAAACAAAGGAGAAATACCAGAGTCCTTTTTGGAGTTAACAAACAGAGAAAAAAATACCGCTATGTTTGCGTATGATGGACCTCTAACTCTGTTGTCCTATTGCCCACCGAAATCGACAAAGAAAAAAGTCATCATCATGTTGTCAACGCTTCACGATTCCCCAGATAACAACAATGAAGTTGAGCTTCCAGAAATTATTCATTTTTATAATAAAACAAAGGGAAATGTGTTCGATGCAATGGCTAAAAAATACTTTGTCCAAAGAAGAACTAAACGTTAGCCAATGTGCATTTTCTATGGGTTATTGAATGGAGTTGTTATTAACTCTTGGGTTCTCTACAAATGCTCAAAAGCAAATAAGCCTGACATAAAGCTTCGTCGGACTTTTCTAAAAGAATTGGGAATTAATCTTATGGATGAACATTTGAAAATGCGCCTGCAAACACCAACTTTGAAGAGGGATACAAAGGAGAGTATCGCGGCGATTCCTAAGCAGCCCATGCCTGTCGATTCTTCTGGGTCAGAACGTCACACACAGGGGCGTTGTGGTTTCTGTCCGAGAAACAGGGATCGGAAGAGCAAGACCAGGTGCACCAAGTGCAAAATTCCAATTTGCTTGGAACACCAAGTTAAAGTACGCCAAAAGAGCTCAAATTGATGAGTAATGTAAAATTTTAAGGCTGATTCGTGATCTCATAATGTCAATTAATATAAATAAAAGTATAATTTTATATAACTGTTTTTATTTCTATACTTTACTAACTATTTTATTTTGGGGTGCCTTGTCACCCCTGTGTGGGAATACTGTATACGCCAGGCAGTGTAGGGTTTGAGGGTTAATACTACCTCCAATAATTTGTAAGAATTTTCGAAAAGACGTTAGTAAACGTGGGTGCGAGCCTCGCACGTACTACAACAACTCTACAAAACTATTTTTTGGCCAATTAATAATTAAGCCGGGACTGAATGTTAGCAAAAGTTCAATTTACATGAGGTGTTTTTTCATAGTTTTGCACTAAATAATTTGAACTTATGATTCTTGCCTACTACTAAAATCATTATGAATAATGAGGAATTTCTTGTGCATCGACGATTTTTTACATCCATAGATTGCATATAAACAAACCCGGAATAATCATTTGTTGTACCAATACTTGTTCCTTGAGTTAATATTATATAAGCCAAATTTGATATTAGATAACCTGCAGCACCGCAGAGCTATTTCTGCCGCTAAACAGCAGTTCACCCACAGCTGTTTCAGTCTGGGTTTTTACCCAGTCAGACAATTTGTCCTAAGTAAACATACCATCCGACAACATCCAACGTAGTGCTCCCACGACTATAGCAGCAATACTAACATAGGTGTGACTACACATGATCTTTGTTTAGTCCACGTTCATTTTAACCTATCCGTAGGAAGGCACTATTGATGTCATTGAGCTTGGGTCTTGACGTCAGAACTGTATCCTTTCAAGTCCAGTAGCTTGAAAATATCTTCCAATGTAGCGATGAACAGTTTCAGGTATTACACGTCACTTTTTCTTACACCGTTTGCAGTTGGATATATTTCGTACTCTGATTCTGTACTCGGATAGCCATCGTAGCCCTACTCTAAACATACTTCAGCACTTCGACATATTGACAATAAACTTTGAACCGCTGTAGCAACGCCCAAATTTCAATAGAATCGAAAGCTTTCTTGTAGTTCACATACGCAAGACTAATTAATAGATGGTAATCTTAGCTCTCCTATACGCCGAAGGGTATGTAAGCAGCACAGAAAGCACAGAAATCGTAATAATAAGACAATAGAAGTAGTATAGACGCGTGACCCTGTCGCGGCTATGATGTGTTGACGAACATCATTCACCATTTGTGATTTAGTTGCGCGGAGAACGTCGTACGTGAATTTATGTTATTATAAATTTATGATGGTGAACTGCATCATAATCAGTTGTAAAAATTCATAAAGGACGTGTAATTCAACTAATAAAGGCATACCATTTCATCGGTAAGTTGATTATTTACTAATTATCATTGTTTTAACTAATTTACCTCTAGATGAATACTTTACAATGATATTTACCTTTGTAAGCTCATTTATTACTTTTCGTATTGTACAATTACAATTGCTGCTTTTGTTCTACCGTAATACGCGACACACGTGATGTTGACAAACTCGCCAAGCAATGTAATGTGAAAGATTAGATATCATTGTGCATTGCGTATATTTATAATACGGTAAGATGTGTAGACATCGGTTTTGGAAGTAATCGAGCGCTAATTCATTTCTATTGTCTTATTATTACTACTTCTGTGGTAAGCAGTATTTGGCGCTTGAAGCCTTTTCGGAAGTATAATATTTGTAGTTGTATATATCATGTTCAGTATTTGACTTTAAGGGACTGATAAAGAAGAAGAAGAAAATAGTTCATAATAGGACACTAAATTTAAATTTCACAGATTGGTGCGATTGGATTGATCTGACATACTGCGTAATAATTTCACACTATATATACTTATGTAGATTGAGCCGTGGCAGATCAGGGGCTGAAAATTTTGTTCGATCCCCAACGGCACCAATGAAATAGTTAATTGCAATTATAAGTGCTAATTAACCACGTGCTCGGCGGATAAGGAAAACATCGTGAAGAAACATCCATGTCTATTTAGGAATAAAATAAAACATTTCGTAGACATGTGAAGTTCGCCAATACGCATTGGAGCAGCGCGGCTGATATTTACTTGTTGCCTTGTTGTTGTCTTAAGCCCTCTCAGAAATGAAAGGGTGCCCAATTATGGGACGTATATTATATGCTGTAACTTTTCTTAACTTTATAGGTAGATGATGATAATGGTGACGATAATAAGTATAATAACACTACTGCTAATTAGTACTAATAGCTTAATAATTAGAAATGTGTTTAAGAGTCATCTACCGACGTATGTTCATTGCTTACTCATGCATTTAAATACGTTGTTTATTTAAAACGTATTAGGTAACTCTACATTGAAATTTTAATGGATATTGGATTATTATGTTAAATAGGGATTACAAATGGGATATAAATAAAGGGGCTAATTTGTGTGCGATTTTCGTAACTATCATCATCTCGTAGCTCAATTAACACATTACATCTTTTAATTCTTTACGTTTTTGGAACCATATGTGTATATAAATTACGCCAAAAATTGTCTATTTATGAAGTCAACAAATGGTCACATAAAAATAAACTCGTGGAATATCATCAGACTATTTCATACATAGACACTGAACAATTATATATACAAACATACACATAGCATACTTACAACATGATTTTTATTTTATTTATTTCTTTGTATTAAAATGCAAATTCGCTCTATATAATATAACTTCTAACAATTACAAATCACCTCTGTATTTTATTCTGGTGCCTAGTTAAATTGGGGGGGGGTAGATTATAGGTACATAGAGGTCTTTGAACCTACACGAGTACCAGTCCCACGAATAACATATATTGTTAAAATGGAGATGTAAGAAAACTAATATCTTCATGTCATGTGTGGTGAGAATTAAATAAATTATTATAATAACAACATCCGCTTAAGTTTACCTTCATAAACTATAAATAAATATTAAAATATTTCTTCAGAAGGCAAACTCATGCTACAAGGTAATGAATTTCATATAAGTATTTATACCTACTTTGTGAGCCTTAAATGTTGATTCAAACACCCGAACTGCATGTTTTTGTGTGGGCGATGTATGTGCTGCCTACTATAAGTTTCAGAAACCGCTACTAGCCTTTACGTTAATCTCCCGTGTATTTATAACCACACTAACATTTGGTCTCTTTTTTGGTATTTTATTCAAAATTTCACAAACTTTGTTTTATAAAGCCTTATTGTTATCACTATTTAAAAGGGTTTTGGTTACCCTTTTAACTAATGACTTAGCCTTTAAATGTTCTCCCCCATACATAGCCGGTCGCCGTGAAATATTGTGAGGTACTAAAGTATAAATACAACATATTTATTATAATTAAAAACACAACAATAATTTATAAAAGTCTTATTAAAATGATGGAACAAAAGCACACACAATAAATCTGTGGAATATTCGTGTAGATAGTTCTAAGATTTTTTGGAAAAAAAGCAAGTCTATATGGCTTCATATCGCTGAAGCCGAATTACATAGTGATTTATAGAATTTTTCTCGCTTATCTGTCAATCTGTCTGTGTATGTACTATTCACGAAAAATTACTTAATGAGTTTCCAGAAAATTTGGTACAAATATGGTTAATGACACTGGGCACTATAATATAAGCTGTTTTTTATCAGAAATAAAATGTGCAAAAAGGTGGGTTGTATCGTTTTTTACTCCTTTATTTATTTTTATAATAACTGTTGATATTATTAAAATGAATGACAGATGAAAGAATGAGGAGCGCAGTGGTGGATACAAGGGTTTACCAAGGGGCCAACGTAGGGACGGATCACTACCTAGTCTTCTGCCGAATCAGGGGTTTATTCAGACGTTGGCGGCATAGGACATCTGTGTCTACCACTGCGTTACAGCGTATAAGAATTGAGAGGTTACAAGATGAAGATGTGAAAGACAAGTACAAATGCAGACTGAGAGAAAATATATGTAATTTGGATGAGTTGTGTGTGAATCAGTTAGACTTGGAGAATGTGTGGCATAATGTTAAGAAAGGTTTAGTGGATGCAGCTACCGAAGTATGTGGTGTTAGTAAGAGAACGAATAAAAGGAAAGACAATACGTTATGGTGGGATGATGAGGTACGTTTGGAAGTTGAAGCAAAGAAGAGAGCATGGCTAGATTTACTAGCGACCAAAGCTGGTAATTCTGGCGGTAAGAATGATGAGAATGAAAGAAAAAAGGCGGAGTTTAAATGTTTAAATAAGAGAGTAAAAGAATTAGTTGAAAGGAAAAAGCAAGAAAGAACGGATAGGAATGATAGAAGAATATCGGATAACTTCCAGGCAAATATTAAAATGTTCTGGAAACTCGTAAGAAATACCAGGGGACTTTCAAAACAGCCTAGATTGAATGCGATACGAGACGAGAATGGATGTATCCTGAATGATGAAGTGTTCAGTCTAAAGAGATGGAAGGAATATTTTGAAAGCGTATTTATGAGTGAGGAGAAGTGTGAACTAAATGAAATAGAAATTCCGAAAGAAGATGAAAGAGATAGGGAGATAAGTATAGATGAAATAATGAAAGCAATGAAAAGCATGAAAGTAGATAAGGCAGCCGGATATGATAGAGTTTCACTCGAAATGCTAAGGGCTGGAGAGGACGTGGTGGCAGGCCTGCTGTACACCTTGTTTAATTTATGTTGGGAACTAAAGCGGGTACCGGGAGACTGGTGCAAAGCCGTGATAGTCCCAATATATAAGGGAAAAGGGTCACAGCAGGACTGTAAAAATTACCGTGGTATCAGCCTTCTTAGCATTGTGGGAAAACTGTATGCTAAGGTACTAATTGAAAGAGTTATGAAAGAAACTGATGAAAAATTTGGGATGTGCAAGCGGGATTTAGAAAGGGAATGGGGTGTACAGATCAAGTCTTTTCCATGCGCATGATCGCGGAGAAGTTTTTTGGCGAAAAACCAAAAAGTTTTTTGTGCGTTCATGGACTTGGAAAA